AGAGTGAGCCAATTTCTTAAAATAAATGTCTCTCTTTAATATATTTCAGCCCAACTGGATTCTACTCCTCTGGATAATTCTAATACACCATTTCAACTTGGGATCCCCCAGAATGACCCGGCTTGAAAAATGAGTTTGCTTTGTTTATAAAGGCAAAAAGTAACAAATGGCTGACCACACAAACCAATAGCTAAAAAGTTAAAGGGAGGTGTACCCAAGGAGGAAAACAATTGTAAAGGGTATTATACTGTAAATGAGAATAAAAATGGGGACTAAACTTTAAAGGTTGTTAGGAAGTTTAAACAAGTGGATTATTTAGAACAGTGTTTAGGATAGTTCCACATACCTGGGAAGCATTCAGATGTTTAACTGGCATTAATATTTTTGCTGGCAAGATTATTGTTATTATCGTTATTATTCCAGGTATGTGCTTGTCACATCTGCTCATATAATAATAATTTAGTCCTCATAACTACTCCATGTGACAGGTGTTATATGTTCATTTGGCAAAAATGACAAAGAAAGGTTAATTAATTGGTCCAAGGTCACACAGCTAGTAAATGATGAAGGTAAGCATAAATTTAATAGAAATAATAACTATGAGTAGACTTAATCATGATCAGCCCTCTCCTCTTATACATACTTTGAGGAGTTATTTTAATAAGGAAGACAAATGATTGTTTGAAAAGCACTAAGCACATATGGTAAATAATAGTAATAATAATAGAATTATTCCCCATGAAATATACAGCAACTTATATTTAATTCTTTGGCAAAAACTACAATATGGTTCTGGCATGAATTTATATGCGTCAAACTAAGAATTTAAAATTCAGTTTATAAAGGTGACCCTTAAATTTTTAGTGTAATACATAAAATAATTTCCTACTTAAAGAGCCTAACATTTGCAAATATGAATTTCCACACTAAGGTTGAGAACAATATACTACTTGTCTTCCACCACCCAAAAGCATTTGTTCAAAAACTAAGACACAGTCTTTAAAAAGAGTAGCTCATCGCCTTATAAATTAGCTAATCCATATATGCTGTATGCCATTTTAAGATCCTTCAACAGTAAATCTTAAATCATTTTTACCATTTAGGGTTATAAATTATATGCAATTATAGGAAATTGGGTCATAATTACTTTTCCCCTAAACTTCAGCTACATTTAAATATCTACAACCATTGAAAGCTCACATAGGTAATCAGTGAATGGTTATATTTAGAAAAGATAGGTGAGCATTTCCAAGAAACTATTTCAATCAATTTACAACTAATGTTAAAATAAAAGATTGAAGATAATTGGTCTCTTACCTTGGGGTTTTCCTTGTCCGCTCTCATCAAAATGTTTTGTTAATTGATTATAGGAAATTCTGTCACCACCTGGTAGGAGTGTTAAAAGAACATGTACAAGATAACTTTCTCATCAATTAATTTATAGATATGCAAACATAATTACAAAAAGAAATTATTAATCATCATGGCCATTTAGTTATATTCTGGGTCATAGACACAACTCAATACTCAATACGCTGCCATTTTCTGAAAAAGAAAACCCCTTTTGTAAATCAATGATAGTTAGAATAATGATTTTTAAATGTATATTACAAGACACGCATAATAGGATACTTCTCCATTAAAACTGATCTCATGTTCAATGAATTATGACATCTATTACTCAAGAATCATCTCAGAATAAGCCTTTTTGGTTTGTTAAAACATGCAAAAGAATATACAAGTGATCAAAATGAATGAGTGTTTTCCCTTAGCTACTCTCTATATGTGATTTTTTTACTATTTAGGTATAAGAAACAAGAAATTTAGATGGTTCTGGATTCTTTAATATGTGCTATTGCAATATAGTAGGAAATACAGGGCTTCTAAGTTCTTTTGTGAATTTAAAGCATTAAGGCCATGTCATTACCCCCTGCAAAACACACACACACACACACACACACACACACACACACACACACACAAATTACAAAAACATTATTCTGGAAGAAAGTCAAAAGGTTATCTAGGTGGTTATCCCTCTTTGGAGAACTCTGACTAATCCACAAGCTATTATTACCTACATCAGGTCATATGCAAAATTGGAAAATAATAAAATGTTACACACCTACTACATAGCAGCACTGAAATCTGTATTCTGTATTAAGTAAAAGGTATTTACCAGTAATTAATAATAAAGCATTTTGCAATTTCTACTCTCTACCATATAAAAATGAACATTATATTACCCTTCCAAAATTTAGTGTAAAAAATAAAATCGTGGTGGTGGTGGTGGCAGCTTATTTACACTTTAAAAAAGAGCATAATTTCTATTAAACATAGGAACTAGCCTACTTACGGTGTTTCTCTTTATACCATGACTTCCAGGAAGCTCAGTGTAAAAATGAGTGCTTAATTATGATAATAATATTGTCCTGGTTTTTTTGTACATTAACTTGTCCCCTTTTGTAGATGTTCTCAAATCCCCCTTTCATCTTTACTTGAACTTTTCTATAATTATGTGCATTTATGTTTCTATTGCAAGCTACCTCAAAATGTTTTGGAATATAGATTATGAACAAATAAACCTAAGAACAGAGTTCAACCAAGCCAGTTGCAGCGGTTCATAATACTAGCACTTTGGGAGGCTGAGACAGGCAGATTGCTTTAGCCCAGGAGCCTGAGACCAGCCTGAACAACACAGCAAGATCCCTTCTCTACAAAAAATACAAAATTTAGCCAGGCATGGTAGCGTGTGCCTGTAGTCCCAGCTACTCAGGAGACTGAGGTGGGAGGATCACTTGAGCTTGGAAGACGGAAGTTGCAGTCAGCTAAGATCATGCCACTGCAACTCCAGCCTGAGCTGAAGAGTGAGACCCTATCAAAAAACAAACAACAATAACAAAAAATTCAACCTAAGTAAAGATAGATGGGTACAAGAAAGAACTTTCAGGTGTTCCCAAAATTCTGCCACACGAACTGCTGTGAACTGCAGACTGCTTCAGTCTGCCCCTCTCTGGAACCCACCCAGAGGCTCTGATGTTATGTATCTGCATAACCTCTAGCCCCATGCCACAAAGTGGAAAGACTGCTAATTAGCACTGTTGACCCCTAAATGAAGTAACTGTGAAAGTGTGCCTACGAAGCAAAAAGAGAAAGAGGTCATCGTGAATTACAGACTCAAGGCTGAGGACCCATCTTGTCAGGAGGCGCTGAGCTGAGCTCTGTCTCTGCACACCTGCATCTTCCTGTTTCTTCTGCTCTCCTATTTCAACTCCAAAAGATATTGTCATATGATATTCTCAACCACAGCTCCATTCTTTAAATCATACCGGATTATATATGTTTAGCTTCCTTCTTCTCCCCTGCTCTGAAGGTAGGGGTCATAGTTTTTACTGTTGTTGTTGTGCTTGTTTTTAAAATTCAGATAGTGTTCAGTTCCTAGAAGGTACTCAATTAAAAAGAAAAGTGTGGGGGGGGGGGTGGATAGGTGGTGATGATGCATTTTCAATATATACAAAATGTATCTTGTAGTTACGAAGGAACTCCAGAAAGAAGAGGGGGGAAAAGCACTGAGGAAGAAATCAGGGGGAAAAATAAAAGCAGAAGAGAAGAAAAAGTGGGAAGGCAGTTAGAAGGAAGTGGAGGAAATAAAATAAAAACAATCACAAAGGAGCTCATTAGAAAGGAGACTCATTAGAAAGGCGGAACTGGCAGCTAGCAAGAGAGCCAGCCCGGACCTCCCATGGCACACACCAGCACAGATCTGTCTGCAGGTACAAGCACAAAAAGAGCTTCCTGACCTGAAACAGGGAATCCCACGTTAGCTGTGGGAGTCAGGCAATAATAACTGACTAGGGAAGCTGAAAAAGTGACCAGCAGTATTTTATAAAACTTCCCTGTCTGTAGTTAGAACCATTCCTTATTCATAGAACATACCTTACGAAGTCACCTTTCCCAAATTAGGGAGTCCTCTCATTACAAACATTCCACCAAATGTAACTATATATTGTGATTCCTAGAAAATTTTAACAGACTTCAATGATAATTCAATCAATACTCCTCCCCAGAACTCACTAGAATTGTCTCTCACCTCCTAAGGGTGTTTGGGTAAATAGAAGGCTGAACTTTTCCAGCCTCACATGCACCCTGACTTTCGAGCTACCAGTGAAAACTGACTCAGACTGAGTTTTTGTCTTATCTTGCACATAGGTCTTTTGATAATATCTGTGGATTCTGCATTATCTAAAAATAGGTTATTGAGAGCTATTTTATAAAAATAATTTTTGCACTATGCTTGAGTCCTTTTTGTGAGAATTTACCCTACTCTTTTATTAAAAAGTGCAGACTCAATGACTGGCACCCACTGGTGGGATATGGTTTGTATTGCAGCTGATTCTAAGTAACATTTGTCATTGTCAATGTCTCATCAATAATCTTTATAAAAACCCGAGTATTTTGTAAACTATAAAATATGCATAATATTATGCACTTAAGGAGCAATTTTGAATTATTATTTTACAACAACTAGTATTAAAGATTATAGAAGAGGAAATTGTTATCCTATCACTTCCCCTTCATAATTCTAAAGTTAAGTGATGGTTCCATGAATTCAAGGAAAGAAATTCAATCATCACAGGGTATGGAAATCTCCTGTGCTAGATGCAATTTGTCGAAGAATGTTCATTTTAAATTCAAAAAGCAGAGATGCATTTGAAGGTGATGATGTTCCTCAGACACATACATGGGCCTTATGATGGCATCAAACTCCTCACAGTAGCATCAGATGAAAGCACATTGGTGCTTCTTCCATCTGACCAGCCCGCCGTCCTTGATGAAAAATTACCTTCACTGTCCATCATGTTGTTAGTGGTTAAAACTTACCATTTAAATTGTAAGCTGCAAAATCTAAATGGAACTGCATGTGTGATCTTTGTCACCTCATTTTCATGAATGGAAAAGAATATTCTGACACAAAAATTACATACTTAATTCTAGCTCACCTTCTCTGCTGACCTCCATCGCACACTGCCTTGGGTTTATTTCCTCATCCATCAGTGGGTCAAAGTAATTTCTGCTGTATTCATTTCCTGTGGAAAGTACACGAGGTAAGGGTCAGTGATTATTAGAAGCACATGAACCAAAATGTTAATTTTGAAATCGACACCAGCAAAGAAGGACCATTTCAGCTCTTTTATAAGCTTAATTTTTTTACAAGTCTTCCAGGCCTCCCTTTTTTATAATTATCATCTTGCAAAAGGTCAGAAAAGGTAAGTCAAGAAACAAGTTCATGCTATCTTTCTGTTGCTAAAAGTTAATGAGAAAATTATCAAACATAGACTTTAGAATAATAATTAAAAAAAACTTAAGCCAAATTATTTTTAGGATATACTCATGAAATGGATGTAGTTGACTTATAATGATGTGTAGAGCTCACTGATGATTATATTTACTTACTTATGTTTCACTACGTGTATCATGTTGTTGTGTCCAGAATTCCACAGGCAATTTAGTACTATCTTAATTATGAAAAACTACAGCAGAATGTACATGTTGCTAGTTGGGTGAAAAGAAATAGAGAGGGAGAGAGAGAGAGAGAGAGAGAGAGAGAGAGAGAGAGAGAGAGAGAGAAGGGGAGAGAAGAAGGGAGAAAACTAGGAAGGAAGGAAGGAAGAGAAAAGAGAGAGGCTTGCTTATAGATCTTTCTTATGTCAACTTCAGTAACATGAAGGGAAGGTACAAATGATTTAGCCAGAAATTTATTCCACACACATCAACAATATGATTTAGCCAGAAATTTATTACACACACATCAACAATCTCAAGATCACTAAGCGAAACTTCTCACATCACGTCTTCCACTTACTCTGTCCTTATCTTCATGACCAAACTGTAGCATAAGGTATAACTTTGTAATAGAGAAGAAGGTCTGCTATTAATTTTCCAAATCTACTTTCATACTTCCTGCAGACTGAAATGTATATGTCTGTTGCTAGTAATTTGCATTCAGCAAAATGTACCCTACTCTGACGATAATTCAAGTTGCCTCAAACACTGCAAAAATAAAGCCTTGTAGAATGAAAACAACAACTTTGAAAGTATGGCTCACAGGGAAGGGTTAATCCATACCAGATATACTGTGATATTCTTTAGTATATTTATTTTAGGATCAAAAGTAATTCAAACAGCAGCTCCTTTTCCAAGGCTAAATGAAATTTTGATGTGAACCTAGGTTTAATTTCTATTTCTGGGCTGACACATTTTTGTGTCAGTCTCTGTTCTATCAATGCAGTAAGTACAAAAACTGAAAATCTGCTTTACCTTGATGTCTCAATAAGGAAAGAATAAATGAGTTTCATTTTTGTTACTTTATCTGTCAACAACTACTAGGCTGATACGAAACTTGGCAGTATGTAATCAAAGTCTTATATACTGCAATAACAGCACTCTTTCTCATTCACTGTAATTGTTTTATATTTTTCTTCCACCACAAAGCACTGTGATACTCTAGCCCTTCCATATGCTGGTAAAGTAATCCACCTATATTAGTATAAGCATGGTATCATAGTCCTTATACTATCAGTCAACTACGGGTACCCATAGTCTGGAAGCTTCTCCAACCCAATACAAAACTCAAATTATTTGTCTTCTATAACTGACTAGTAAATATTACGAAGATAATCAAGACTGTGGAGAGTGAAAAAGGTTAAGTCATCTTTAACCAAAAGTCTGGAGTAGTGTATTTCGTTTTTAGGTTCTCAAAACCATTTGCATCTCTGTTGTCAGTGGAGACGTTGGGGTCTCGCCCAGCTGCACATGAATGAGGCCTGCAGTCTGGGAGCCTCCCAGACCCCATCTCCCTTCAGGGCTCGATGCCTCCACAAGCAACTGGAATCAGGGCCCTGTAAGGTCTATACAAAGTATTCCCTCTGCATTTCATGTGGGTTGATGTATGCATGTTAAGTTACAAATGCCACTCCTGGAGGGATTCATTTTGTGTTTCCCATTCTGGGATCCCATGTACAACATTTTAAAAGGAAAGAATTCCGAGGTCTCAAGCAAAGAGACAGCTTTGACACTTAGTTCTGAAATCCTTTAAACATTCCCAAGTTCTGTACTGTAATACATATCTGGAATTCATGTATTTTATAATTTACACACATTTTATATTAATTTTACATTCTGTTAAGCATTGTTTTACAAACAGTATTATACTCAACTATTGTCTGTCTTCCCCACTAAAATATAACTGTCTATGAATACAGAGACATTATCTCTTAGCTCACTTCAGTACCCTCAGCACCTAGAATATTACCTGGTTTAAAATATGATCTGAATTCCTTAAATAAATGTCTCTTGGAAATCTACTGTAATACCTTAATTCTTTAATTGGCTAGATATTCTCTCTTGATTAAAACAAGCATGAAATTAACACCTTTTATTCCTATTTTTTTCTATTCCCCCTCCGATCTCTCCTCTGTATCATCACCACCTACCCACCCCACTTTTCTTTTTAATCGAGTACCTTCTAGGAACTGAGCACTATCTGAATTTTTTTTTTTTTAAGACAGTTTCACTCTTGTTACCCAGGCTGGAGTGCAATGGCGCGATCTCAGCTCAACCTCCGCCTCCTGGGTTCAGGCAATTCTCCTGCCTCAGCCTCCTGAGAAGCTGGGATTACAGGCACGTGCCACCATGCTCAGCTAATGTTTTGTATTTTTAGTAGAGACGGGGTTTCACCATGTTGACCAGGATGGTCTCGATCTCTTGACCTCGTGATCCACCTGCCTCGGCCTCCCAAAGTGCTGGGATTACAGGCTTGAGCCACCATGCCCGGCCACTATCTAAATTTTTAAAACAAACCCAACAATAACAATAAAAACTATGACCCCTGCCTTCAGAGCAGGGGAGAAGAAGGAAGCTCAACATATATAGTCCGATATGATTTAAAGAATGGAGTTGTGGTTGAGAATATCAGAGAAGCATCTATACCATATAGGGAGTGTCAAAGACTTCATAGAAGAATGGCTACTGGAAATAAGTTTTTGGAAAGGTAATTAGGAATTAGCCAGTCAGAAACACAGAGAAAGAAATTTTTGACAGAAGGAGCCATCTGGGCAAAGGAGAAAAGACTCAAGGGCATAAAGTCATGGGAAGCACAATTTGTTGGTAGATGTTTCTCAATTTTTCTCAACCTCCTAAAGTTACAATTTAATAAAGTGAATAATGGAACCCAAACTTCTTCAGTAGGCCCAGAATCAACATTAACTAATGTTTTTGCTCAAATTCTTATGCAATGTCACATTCTGATGTTTTATAATAATTCATTTACTCAACCAATACTTACTGAGTGATTATTATAGGACTAGAGCAGTAAAATGAAATACTTAAAAATCTCTCTCCTCACAGAGCTTACATTCTGTGAGTGGAAGAACAAGAACAATAAATACATATATTTCATAATTTATTAGATAGTGAAATTGATGAGAAAAAATAGTGCCAGGTAAGGATGGTCCGACCCCAGGATGGGGTGGGGGCTGCATCTCTTGCTTCTACCTTTATTTCAAGCAAAGGATGCCACTCAGGTTTAAGCCACTATGCTTTCAAGACAATTGAAAAAGTAAAGCTATAATGTATTTGTTATTATTTTTATAAGTTTTTATTCTTCCAATTGCTTGCTATAACATAAATCAGTCTATGAATCAAATAAAACACACTCTCAAGTATTAAAATGATTATTCCTTTCTATTGCTATTCCTTGTTTTAATAAGCCAGTGATTTAAACACAGCAGGTAGAATTTAGGAGAGTAAACACATGGAACCTGTTATAAATTTAGAAACAATGGACTCCATCATAACAGTAGCCCTTTGGATGTCTTTCATTGGGTGGTGTCAGGATTTAATAAAGTGGGATGGTTTTAAGAATATGGTGTATATTACCAGAAGGTAGATTGCTAATAGAATCAATTCCTAAAGTGTCCTAATCATTCAGAGTATGCTTTTGGATATATCTAAAATCATCTCACAGGAAAATGAACAGACCCACTGAGAAATTCAAAGTAGGGCATTTAGCAATACAAATACAATAGATTTTAATATGGCTGATATTAACTCCTTGTAATATTCAGATGAATATATGCCAATCACGTGTGTGTGTGTATACACATATATGTTTAAGTATGATTCTATGTTGAAGCAATCAGATGTGATATATAAACCAACAAACCAGTAAATTGGTCTTGTCAATATTCTAGATCTTCCAACTTCCTAGTATCAGCTGCTTAATGTATAGAATTGCATTAGTTAATTCATTTCTTGTGCTATCTTTTATTGAACTAGGAGAGAAAAACACAGGCACTTGCCTTCTGCCCTTCCACACATATCAGGTTTTCCTATCATTTAACTCAGAGCAGCACAGAACATAATCAGGGCTTTTACTTAAATTACACTGTACATGAACTTTGGTCAGAAAACCCTCTAGTGTGCACCCATGCAGTTCCTTGGGAGCTATAAGAGTGAGAATGAAATTGCCCACCAGAGGAAGCTTAGTAACAATCATGAAAGTGTCTTGACTCAACGAAGCAATCACTTCCTTTCAAATCAGCTACATTAGCTAGAGAAGAAGAAAAACCTAATGCATCTGTGTGTTTCTCAGTTTTTGTTTTTGTTTTTGTTTTTGTTTTGGCACCATTCTTGTTCTTTTCCTGTAAATCTATCTGCTTCAGCTCAGCTTTTCCTCACCGACCACTGTGTTTTCTACAATATACTATAAACTAAATAACTAAAGAATGTATATTTTATTATTACAACCATGCACCAAAATTTTACCACAGAGGGCATTCTCATGAACAGTATGCTTTTTAAAGGCATGAAGCCTGGAAATATAAAATTAAATTTGTTTCTATGAACTTTATATATAAATTTGAGAAAACTTCATATATTTCCACTTTAAAATCCAATACAAGTATCTCTAGCTTAAACGTCTATAGGGCCAGGAAGTCCACAATATAAAAACAAAAATGTAGAAATCAGGGGACTACACTAGAATACAGGAGACTAGGAACAATGTGAAACCTGAACACACTGTACC